GAATTATTTAGAGTCGCGGAAGAGCATGCCCCGTCTATCGTATTCATAGACGAAATAGATGCCGTAGGAACGAAGCGATACGACAGTAATAGCGGAGGAGAACGTGAAATTCAAAGAACTATGTTAGAACTCCTGAATCAACTTGATGGTGCGAGGAATATTTAAAATCAGACTTAATCGTAGGTTCGTAATCGTAGGTACAATAACTGAGCGTTTGTCAATAATTTAGGTTTCGATAGCAGGGGAGACGTTAAAGTCGTGATGGCCACCAATAGAATTGAGACGTTAGATCCAGCGTTAATTAGGCCAGGTCGCATCGACAGGAAAATCGAATTTCCACTGCCAGACGAGAAGACGAAGAAGAGAATTTTCAGCATTCATACCAGCAGAATGACTTTAGCACCTGACGTAAACCTAGCCGAGCTAATTATGGCCAAAGACGATCTTTCAGGTGCAGATATAAAGGTATCTAAGACATTCCGTTCTGATTTTTCGTAGCGATAAGAGGACGATCGATTGGATGCAGCGAAATACTTTGTTTTACAGGCTATTTGCACCGAAGCTGGTTTAATGGCGTTACGCGAACGCCGTATGAAAGTTACTAGCGACGATTTCAAGAAATCGAAAGAGAGTGTTTTATATCGAAAGAAAGAAGGTTCCCCCGAAGGATTGTACCTATAATAATATTCTTTATTTACATAATGCATTGAAACGTAAAAATATTGTACAAGCTAATAAAAATTATAAAAAACTATACTACAATTAATAAAATTAATCATCTGATTCTGACTTTGTAATTTTCGGAATCTGGCTTTGTATCTGAAATTCATTCAAGTCGTTGAAATTTAATGGCTTTGCATAGGGTTGAAAATATTCGTGCAACGTCTGAAGAATTCGTATCGAATGTAGTTGTTGCTCGTTATCAATCTGGGAAAATGATTTTTCTTCTTCGTGGGATGCAGTCATACATAAATAACACGCACCTCTTCTAGTTTTATCAAGAATTTCTTTTATGTTCTGCGGACGCTCTACGTTCGGTGGTACTACATTCAATAAACTTTTGAACTTTCCCAAAAGGAATGCTGTTTGGAAGCCTTCTTTGTACCCCTTGTCAAAGCCTTCTTGGAAAACAGAATCTGTCCCATCTTCTATTCCTTTCCTATAACCAGTCTTGGAAAGCAAGAATAATAAATATAACAGATTAATTAACAAACTGCAGCTCTCATATAAATCTCTTTTTCTATGCTCTCTGCACTCTGTTTTACTTCAATGAATGTGATGTACGTAAATGTCCGTATACCTTTTTCGCGGCATCTGTAATTCGATCCCAATTTTTGCAAGCAACATTGAACGAATCTTCGCTATCCGACTCACTCGAAAGATTCTCCATATTATTAGATTAGAAAATATCGTTTATGTTTCATATAATATCAAATCTTTCTGTTTACAACAGAAGCACGGAGGCTATAACCTAACGAAAGTCTGACACGATCATATCATTTACACACAATTCTCATTGAAATAATTAAATGGAGACGACAGCTACTTCTTCGAAGGAACAGGATGTGGATACAAATTCTACGGAGTTAATTCAACAGAAGTAAATCCCTGTTTCTTGTTTAAAAGCACGTGTGATAGAGACAGAACGGTACTCGTCCGTGAGATTATATTATCGTTCGAACGATTATATAAACGCAGAATGAAACGAAACATTTCAATGCGAATAATGAAAGAAATATTTTTAATCAATGCTTTAAATTGCAGAATCATTGCATTGGCACAAGCGAAACCGAAAGGAATATCCGATAAAGATTTAACAAGCGAAATGCCAGACCTGCAGCCCGCCCAAAGGGCTGAGATAATAAATAAACTTTTATCCCAAGGCTATTTCGATTTGTTTAAACAAGGTGGCTCGTTGTTGTACCGTTTAAAAGATCCTTCAAAGGCAAAAGTCGCAAAGGGTGCTGACAACGAGGAAAAAATCGTTTATACTATCATTGAGGAAGCAGGGAACAAGGGAATCTGGATCCGCGACATAAGATTCAAGTCGAATCTGATGCCGACGCAGTTGAACAAAATTTTAAAAAGCTTGGAGACCAAGAAATTTATCAAAGCCGTCAAGTCTGTAGCAGCGAGCAAAAAGAAAGTTTATATGCTGTACAACTTGGAACCAGACACGTCTGTCACTGGTGGTGCTTGGTACCAGGATCAAGATTTTGAAGCAGAATTCGTTGACGTCCTCAACCAACAATGCTTTAGATTTTTAGAGAAGAAAAGGGAGCAAATGAATTCCTGCAGGGATGGACCGATCATGGCTAGGAATGTTACGTTCGCTTCCTCTAAAGAAGTCTGGAAATTCATATCTGATTTAGGAATAAGCAAGGTTTCAATGAACGTCAGAGATGAAAATGATATAAGATTTTCCAAATGATACAAGAGAGATTGTTTGTAGGTGAAATTGTCGGTTGAAGATTTGGAGATGATTCTGAACACCCTGGTCTATGATGGAAAAGTAGAACGAAATGTCTCAGGTGACGGGAACATTTTATATAGGGCAGTGGAACCTTTATTAAGTCCACCTGGATTAATCAAGTCTACTTGTGGAGTTTGTCCTGTAAGATTAATCTTCTCATATTTTTATTTTTGCTAACACAATGTGACATGAAAACATTCATGTACGTCAATTGCAGGTGAGGAAAAATTGCTGTGATCTCGGTGATGTCACACCAACTAAGTGTCAATACCTTACAGAATGGTTGGAATAATGTTGCCTACATAAATTGTATATACTTTTGCACATATTTAAGCTGAACAATAAAAAAATGCATAAAACAGTATCGGCGAGTCCTTATGATTTTTCATTAACAGATTTATTGTAAGATGTTTTCAATTACAGGGTAAGAATTCGTTTTCGTACTTCGATCAGGATGAGGTCAATCATCATTTTAAGATCGTTATAAAATTATGAACCTTCGAGATTCGTTAGTTGATATTGTAATCATTTTTCTTCGATAGACTCCCGCCAAATTTAGCGAGTTCATATATTTAGACCGGATGCTATTTACCAACTGCGAGATATCTACGCAGTACATAATCTTTTATATTTCTCTACGATAATTACTGAGCGTTACGAATAGAACGAGCGTGTGGAGACGTCGAGAGCGAAATCGTTCAGTGGATCAAGTACTCGCTGGAAATCCTCTTCGGTTCAAGAACATCGTCATCCGATCGCTTCCCGCGTTTTGATTAGTGATATCATGTTGGTATGATCGTTCTTCCCGCTGGCTTCCGGATTTGGGGTGCCAGATGTGAATGTGCGCTTCTACTAGGAGCACCGTTAAATCGTGCATTGTCATGAAAGTTGTGATGTCTCTTGACCGAGTATCAACGCTTCACGCTCGACAGGTGTGAATGAACAAAATCAGTGAACGAACGATTCGCGGCAATCTCGGCGCGAGTTCTGACACCGGCGAGAACTCAGTAGCATCCCGTTGTCGGGAGAAGTTTTCGCGTGCGTCGCATGTGCCTGGCGTTGCGCTCCGCGGAAAGGGTACACATCGAACTCTCGTTTTCTCGGCGACGCATAATTGATCCGCGACTGGTCAGAATCGTGACCGGATACCCCGTCGGCTTGACGACGGATTCACGAGCGGTGACATGCCGCTTCTCCGCAAACAACCATTTCAACGTCTCCACGTTTCCTCGGACTTCAAAGACGACGACGAAGTTTATCACTGCGAGGTTACCAACGAGATCTTCAAGGACTACAAGTAAGACCATGACAGCACGGATCGTTTTCAGACACGCTCCGTGACTTCGGCCGCGCGATTTCTTCGCGACAGACATTTTCGACACGATCAACTCCGTTCTCTCTACCCTCGACTGTTGCACGCGAAATGTAGATTAACTTTGGGTGATTTAAGTTGAGAACTAGTGAATTACGTTGGGAAATGACCACTTCGAAACTTGATGCACTGGAAGTTCATTTTTATTACGTTTTTCAGACCGCGTTCAGTCTCGTTGTTATGACATAATTATTGCATTCATACTGATATTAACAATAACGTCATGTGTTAAAACTGTACATTTTTTGTAGTGAATTCTGTGAGAGGATCATTTTATGTAATTCGCTCATCTGGTCATGCAGTATCACAGGCAGAACCAATATGACTTACGAGGAGGCTTTACATTGCGAAGAAAATGCAAAGAAGAGCCTCAAAGAATTTCCTACGGAGGTATAGTACTTATTTATAAATTTCTTGTTTGCATATCTAATTGTAACGTCTTTTATGTTATAGCTGCGTATTCCTATTTTGTACCTCGCTAGTAAAACAAACAGATCGTCCTTCAACGAGATGATAGAGGATGTATATCAATTCGCAAGAGATCGTTACTTTGTGGGAGAGATGGTAGAGGCAAGTTTCACGGAAGAATCTTGGTGCGACTGCCATGTCCTTCAAGTTATTCCACCCACAGAACAACAAATGAAATTAGCTGCTAAAGAAAATAATAAGTAAATATTTACATATTTCATCGATTTAACTGACGACGTTATCCTTATGCACATGTATTTGTTATAAAAGTGCTCAGGAGCACCAGTACCATCCTGCCGCAAAACTGTTTCGTTACGAAGTAGAACAATTAGATTCTGGAGACTCCGACGTTAGCCACCTTATGATAGTGGAAGCAGCGCAAGTGAGAAGAAAAAAGCAACACTATAGCAAAGAGCGTAATAAAATATTCTTGCGCCAACTATGCGAGCAGAACGAGGGCGGATTGTGGGTTGTTAAAGTCAGTACAAAGTTTCGACGGAACTATTTTGCGAGAATTGAGTATATTGAGTATATTGATTAAAAGAACTCGGTTCACTTGCAGGATAGTGTCTTACAAAAATATGGCATTAGTAAAGTACGTTTTGATACTATATTCGCTGGTCCACCGCCAGATTTCACGTTACGCGTTAAGAAGTCTGTAAAACATAAGCAGGAGTCGTTGGAGAAGTTTCTGGTGATGGACGTAGCGAAACAAAAGCCTGATCCCCTGAAAAAGGTGAATCAAGGTGGACTGGATATAAAAAAATTCCGCAAGCCAAGGTAGAACGATAAAATTAAAGTTTCCTAGGAGCGGATTAATACTGTCAAATTTTTAAACAGGACGAACGGAAAGTTTAAGGAAGACTCAAAAACAAAGGCAGAAGAGAAAGCAAAACGTGAAGAAGAAAGAGTGTTGAGAAATGAACGTAAGAAAGAGGAGAAGCAAAAATTAGCTGCTCTGACTTTGTACATAAGGCAGTGGAACAAGCCGCGGGAGGACCTCGAATGCGAAGACCTTTGCCCTATCCCACAAGCAACGCCTGTTAAGAGTGCTATACCTAACGAAAAGTTTGGTGCCGCCGTAATGATTCTAGAATTTCTGGAATTTTTTCACGAGGAGCTAGACGTTGGTGCTCACTTTCCAAACGGTTTTACTTTAGACTTGTTGGAAAAAGCACTGTTAGTAAAAGAAACCTCTGGACCTTGGAGCGACCTTATGCAACTATTGTTATCGAGTATTTTTAAATACCAAGCAGACGAGGAAGACGAGATTCATGCTCAGGCGACTGAAGTAGTCAACGACATTAACATGAACGAAGGCACGTCGTCAATGACGAAGGCTGTGAAGCTTTCTACCATAGCTTCCACTTGGAGCCAAATGCATCAAGGCTGCAAACTATCTGAAATAACGTTGGACCACGTAACTTTGAGCGAGATTCTAAGACAACATTTATTATGCTCTGGTGGACGAATTGGCGACGTTGCTACAAAGTGGAGATACTCTGAAAGAGGTATATATCTTATATATTTATGATAGTAGTTTAAAGAATGTATTTTAAATAACAATTTCTTTTGTCAGTTTAAGTATTGCAATATCCTGCTTTTAATGATCTTTATATTTTTGTACATTATTATGCAACCAACGTTTGTCTTCTTCGCACATTCAGCTGTCTTATAAATACATAAAATCCGCAGTCTACCTAACACAAGTTTCTTTTGTATTGGAACCTCGGTTTTCTTAGGAGGTTATTCGAATCAGGATGATCCAGCGTTGTTGATGAGACTAAACGACGCATATATCTTGAGATTGCTAGGCCATCGAAGCGTCCAAGAATTCGATTTGAATGAAAAACTGAAGGTAGTTACATGTCTCATAAACCAATTGCTCACTTTCGCTTCGATACGGGATGTGATAGAAGAAAGACGAGAGAAAGTTCATCAAGCGAAAAAGGAACTGAAGTCGTTGATAGCCGAACAGAAGAAGGAGAAAGAGGAGAGAGAAAAAATGCAAAAAAGCGAAAAAGATACTGAGAATAAAATGCCAAAGAAGGTAACGCGTGGTAATTGCGAGGAGGAGAAGAAAAAGGAGGAGTACGAGCATAGATTAAAAGAACTTCAGGAAGCATCTAAGGATCAGAACATGATGCTGTATTTAGGTTCCGATAGAGCTCATCGCAGATACTGGAGATTTTTGTCAATACCAGGTACTCGTCCTTTTTTTTTTTTTTATTCTAAAGTAAGACGATATGTACATACTCATTATTTTTCTTAGGAATATTCGTAGAGGATGACGAATGGTGGCCTGGGACTTGTCATCCCGACGGCACGCCTTATCAACCGGAGTTACGGGACAGGGAATACGTGCAGGCGTATTTGAAGCATAAATTTGAAGACGAATTTAGCGATAAGGAAAATAGTTTTAAAAAGGCGAAGAAGTCGCCGAAGAAAGTTTCGTTCGCTGATAAGAATGGCCTGAAGCCACCGAGAAACAATGTGTCCCGAAAAGAACTTTCCGAAATAAGAAAAAAACTGATGGTTTGCACGAGCGACAAAGAATGTCCGGTGCATTCGAAAAGACTAGGCCCGAAGTGGAGCTTCTTCGGAACGCAGGAAGATCTAGATGCTTTGTTAAACGGTTTAAACGCTCGAGGAATTAGGGAGGGTGAACTTAGAAATAATATTGTACACGAAATGGAAAGCATAACGTCCATAATCGAGGAATGTCCGAGGCATAAACTCAATCCCGATGTCGTAAGTGTTTTACTGTGTCTAGATATTAAGTAAATGAAATTCTCAATTGTACGGAGTAAACATTATCAATAAATTTTCGCTACAGTTTTCGGAACCTATCAAAGGACATCCTAATAAAATTGCGAAAAAAAATAAATACGAGAATGCGAATTTAAACTTTCCTCCGGAAACGCCGGTCAACGACGTTTTGGAAATGACGCTCAGAGATTATATTCTCTATTTTGAAGATAGACTAAACGCTGGTGTCTTGGGACAGTTAAAGGTGAACAATCGAGAGGAATGGAGGAGTGAAATTTCCAATAAAAAGTATAATAATGATTGTGAGAAATTAGTTTGTGGCGCGAATGAATTCGAAGCGGATATCGCTTCGAACGCGATTCTGGATAAAGTTAAGAACGAGTCGAAACATAGTAGGCCAGGTACTCCGGATTCAGAGTCTGGAAGTATCAATACGAAAACTTACAAAGATGCAGGAAAGTATTTAGGCCCACCGGGTGAAAATGAAACACTCCCGGATCCCAATCAACAAATGGTGATCAAACAAATGGCCTGTGTCATTTTACAATTGTCCCATGCGATCGAACAAAAGTACTTAAAGAAACCGTTAGGCCCCGGCGACAAGGATAAGAAATGGTCGGCTGAAGAATTTCGAGAGAGATGGGAACAATCTCTTATGGCGTCGACGAACTGGTCTCAGTTGTTTGTACATTTAAGTACTTTAGAAAATAGCGTCGCTTGGAGCAAGAGCGCGCTGAACGTTCGATGCCGAATATGTTGGCGACGTCGAGATGGAGATAAAATGCTGCTCTGCGACGGCTGCAACAATGGCCATCACCTGTACTGTTTGACACCGAAATTGACGGTAATTCTTTAACTAACGTTTTAATTCTCGTTAGATCGCTCGGTATGTATTATACGCGTTCCACGCGTTCCATTTGCAGAGTGTTCCAACCGGAGATTGGTACTGCAAATCTTGCAAACCATCGAAGAAGCGAAAAGATAAGGTTAAAAAGAGAAAAAAGTTTGAGGATGATTTGGACGATGAAATCATACTGACCAAAGAAACTCGGCACAACCGCGCAAAACGAATTCTCGAAAGCGAGGAGGAGGAAGAGGAGGAGGAGGACGAGGATGAGGACGAGGAGCAGGATGAACCAGATGTGGAAATGGAAGAAGCCAACGACGCGAATATGTAAGAATCAACTTTTTTAATTAATTTATCACTGTACACCGAGATTGTTTAATAATAATCATCTTCCGTATGTTTCAGCAGTAGTCAAATGAACGTCTGTTACGTGTGCAGAAGCGGCGGGAGATTACTCAGTTGCGACGCTTGTCTAAAGTTTTACCACGTCGAGTGTATAGATCCTCCTATGGCAAGACCACCTCGTGGAAGATGGATTTGCCCAGATTGCAAGGACAAGAAGGATAGAAGAGCGAGTGAGTACCGTGCGCTATCGTAGTTGAACTGTTTATCGGCGGTAGGGAACGTTATGTGATTATACTTTACTATCGTCCCGTATGTTAATCGTCTTAGAAATGTACAATATTATTGTAAAACAATTTCTTAGTTATAATTGTGTTGTTAGTGAGGGGGCGTGAAAGGGAAAGGGACAAGGAGAGACTGTGCGCTGCAGCAGCACGCTCTCGCATCCATGGCTTTGCCAAGAGCCTCCTCACTACAGAATCTACAGACTTGGACGGTCTGTATTCTCTCTCTCTCTCTCTCTCTCTCTCTCTCTCTCTCTCTCTCTCTATTTTTCTATACATGTGTGACTAAACGTTGCATTCTACGATTATTGGCTAGCCTGTTGCATGTATCTGTAACTATTTGTGCTAATCTTGCTTCGATGAGTGTCTGGATTTTTTACGATCATTTAACTCCGCATATTAATTGGTTTAAATTGATTTCGTAAATGTTTTCGTGTTCAGATAGTAGCAATTCAGAGGATACAGAACCGAGGCAGACCAGGCGAGCGGCTAAGAGAGCTGCGGAAATCGAACAGGAGGACAAAACAATTAAAGGACCTATGACAAGACTGCAGGAATTACTTTCTGACATTAGGCATCACAGAGACTCGTGGCCCTTTCTATCACCCGTAACGAAAGACGAAGTTCCCGATTATCATGATATTATTTCGAACCCCATGGACTTTGGCACTATCAAGTCAAAAGTGGACAACGGCGAATACGAAACGTTGGAGCATTTCTTTAACGATTGTCGTTTAGTATTCGAAAATTGTCAAGCGTATAACGAGGAACACAGTTCCGTGTACAAGTAAGTAGAATTAAAATTGGTATTTACTTCTATATAAGTTCGGACGCCAGAGATTACCAGAATTAACTAATAATATCTATCGACGTGGTCCAAGCCTTAGGAATTTTATGTGACTAAATATATAATACCATGCTTTGTATTAACTTGTATTAACAATTAGATCGCATGCAATATACAACTAACACAACTAAATACGAATTTGTCAAATAATAATTTTCATTTACTGTAAGTAATTATAAATTAATTGAATTCGAGAAAGATATGAAAATCTTTGGCCTCCGAACGTTGAATGTAATACACATTCTCGGAGTTACTCTATGTTATTTTAAAAGTAGTTTCGTATACAGAGCAGGTATGAGGTTGTTGAAATACTTCGAGAAACGGTGTAGAGAGTTAGGACTCTCGGACGACCTGGACTTATTGCGATCACTGACTGCGAAGAAGCCGAAACTTGAAGACAACGGTCTCACGATTAGCGAGGACGAAGCCACGAAAGACATTCAGAAATCAAGATAGAGATAAAGTACTCTGTTCGGCTCTTTATATTTATTGAATAACACTTTTTATTTCCGAAACGTAAATTGAGTGTACCTTGAAACGTAATTTGTACACCGTCGTTATCGATTCTGTGTACGAATTTACAGTTTGTAAAAAAGAAGACTTTGTTTACTAAGAGTAGAGAACGCTGCATAGAAGTGGAAACTGCAGGCTTAAAAAAGTATTTAACATATTTTCTTCTACGTTACTTATATTAAATATCCCAATTAATTTTCTTTCTTTCTTTGGCTTAGTATCAATAAAAGGTATACACACAGTATTACTTGTAGAATTTTACGTATGCTATATAATAATGCATAATTATTCTTCAATATTTTTTAAATTTCGTCACGTAAATCNCCATGTGAAACATTACACAATATACTTGCCTTTTACAGTATATCCATGCATCGTTCGAAATGTGATCACGCGCAATGCAGGATACATACTATCCGTACTAACTTTACACAGCGCTCAGATATCGGAAGGCAATAAAAAACCAGTGCTGTAATCATTACTAAGTAGAGTATAAGCAAAACCGTGTAGAAGTAAGAGGTCTCGAGGGTTCGCTTCGGGAGCAAACTTGTATCTGTGCCGAAATAGCTGATAGACTACCTACTATTTAGGTTCATCTAGTCCAGTGGTGGGAAAAGTACGGCCCGCGGGCCAACTCCGGCCCGCCGAGGGCCCATTGACATGGATAGTATATGGCCCGCTATAATTACGTTTTGACGGTCGAGAAGTATAAAGTGCATTTTTTCTATAATTCTGGCCCTCCTCTAGAATTTCTTAAACTTTGTGGCCCCCCATTAAAAAAGTTTGCTCACCACTGATCTAGTCTATCCGATGCCTATTCGACTGAAGTCCAACGAAACTCTGGGTACTGATATTTGCATTCATCAACTATTTCTGGTTGCTATTAGAATCCTTTCATATAGATGTCTGAGACAAAGTTCCTGACGAAAAAGATCGGTAACTAAGAATTCTGTGGATTTCGGTCGGGGAAAGTTTACTTGAAAAGCTTAAAGCAACTTTTTATCGAAACAGCAGAAATTCTGTGTGCCGTTTAGGGGTCGATTCTAAGCCGCTTTCAACATGGGGCCTCCCTGAGGCCTCCTGTTTTTACACGGTTTTGTCTGTATGCTATCGTAAAGATTAAAGTACTAATTTTGTTTATGACGCTTTAGCGTCATACGAAGTCGATACGGATCGGTTTCGTTACGGATAGTAGTATGGATCCACATTAAGATGACTGATTGATTTAAGAATCAAACTGTGCGTAATAAAGACCAAGGTCACTAATATGAATACGGAAAACGAAAAGATATTAATTGATATAATTACTACGAATGCGTTTTTACGTAAATAAAGTACATTTTACTGGGGTTCAAGCTTTGACATTGTTAGATATTGGACAGAATTATTACTGATTAAAGATTCTATTATTTAACTATCGTTTATTCTAGGTTTGACCAACTCTGTAACATATAGTACTTATCTTTCTTTCTCGTTATCCTTTGGAAAATTAAACCATTCTTACAGTGGAAATTACAAACTTTAGGCTGGCCCTATACAAAATTTATGGTACAAATTATCATTAATCTATTATAGAGTATTAGGAGCAGTTCTTTGTAAGCATGTACGTTTTATACAATTAATTTGGTAATAAAGTTTTGAAATAGATTTCTGATGAGGATCTGTCTATGACATACAATGAAAGAAATAAGAACGGACAAATAAAAGATACATTAATGATAGTTCCCAAATACAATATTCGGGTCTTTCATACATATATTTCCGTTTTTCACATCGCACTACAATACTTTATTCAGATTTGTTTCAATGATGCTGCATCTCTCCGGAGAATTGTTTTCTATCAACTTCGTCCCATTTCTTAACATTCTCCGGGTGGTAGGCTGTGACGTAATGAAAAATTGTGACCATTGAATTCATAATGCATGAACATTAATGACATCCATCCAATTTTTCATAAAACAGTATACTTACTGAGTTTCTGGATAGAGTACCAAAGGGGCAAGCAAAGAATTGCGCTTATCGTCCAGTATTTCAGCACCCACCCACGTTTGGCTTTAAAATAGTAATGTTCAAAGGGAAATCGTGCGATCTTTGCACTGAGTGTGTATGGATATCTCATCTGCCTTCCAGACATGGCTAGAAAGAACATTCAACTTAACTTTACTTAAAATTTATCTGTAATCAAACCTGCTACTTTCCCCATAGAATTACATTAGTAAAATATATGTAATATGGTTCTTGAAACCAAGTATGAATTCGTTGTGAAGTGAATTGCACTTGCTACGTTCGATTTTTGATTCTATCTGTTGTCGCGAGCTATTTCAACAGTGATTATAGGGAATTCAGAACAATATAGATTTACCTGTTAAAGTAAATCGACGTACAACTTTAATAAACCAACAAAAGTATTTTACTACGGTTATCGAGCAGTATTATATAACCTATACACTTTGACACTGAGACCTGATATCTCGATTTGAAGTTGAAGCCAATGTGTGTATGTACGAATTCTACCGGTGAACTTGAGAAATAGGAGTGGGTTGGTGCCCGTGGAGCCCGTGGAGCGCGAAAGCGCTCTGGTCGAGGAATGCGTTTGAATAAATCTGTTTCAAAACTTTGGAAAAATACTGCTTTAATAAATTTTTCTGGTACAGTACGCTAGCTAGCTTAAGGAAAAGGCAAGTGCGCTCGCTTTTCGAAGCGTGGTCCCAGTCTAGAATGTTTTTATGTCTTAGCTTTAAGAAGAACTTAACTGTGCGCGTAGTTTGAACGGCATACTATTACACGCGTAATTGTTCCGTACATTTGTATCGGGTCAACGGCAAGACCGAAACTGCAAACTTGCCGTTTAGAATCGCTTTTTAGAATTTTCGCTTCCAAGTTCCACGATTTCGAAGTTTCCCGATTTCAAAATTTCTCGTTTTTGAACTTTTCCAATTTCGAAATTCCCCGTTTTTCAAGTTCCCCGACTTCGAAGTTCTCCGTTATCGAAGTTTCCTGTTTTCCAAGTTTCTCGTTTTCCAAGTTGTTCGTTTTTGTTTTTTAGAATCTTCGGTTTCAAAGTTCCCCGATTTCGAAGTTTTCTGTTTTCCAAGTTTCCTATTTTCAAAGATTCCCGTTTCTGTCTTTTAGAATCCTCGGTTTCGAAGTTTCCCCGATCTTGAAGTTCCCCGATCTCGAAGTTCCCCGCTTTCGGAGTTTCCCGTTTTCGAAGTTTCCTGTTTTTGTTTTTTAGAATCCTCGGTTTCGAAGTTCGCCGATTTCGAAGTCCCTCGATTTTCAAGTTCCCCGATTTCCAAGTTCCCCGATCTCGATGTTTCCCGATTTCGAACTTCCCCGTTCTTGTTTTTTACAATCCTTGGTTTCGAAGTTTCCCGATCTCGAAGTTCCCCGAATTCGAAGTTTCCCGTTTTCGAAGTTTCCTGTTTTTGTTTTTTAGTATCCTCGGTTTCGAAGTTCCCCGATCTGGAAGTTCCCCGTTTTCGTTCTCGATATACCCCGATTTTGAAATACCTCGATTTCGAAGTTCCCCGTTTTTGTCTTCGAAATTCCTCGCTTTCGAAGTTCCCCGATTTCGAAATTCCCTGTTCTCGAAGTCTTCCGTTTTCGCCTTCGAAATTCCCCGCTGTCGAAATTTCTCGTTCTCGAAGTTCCCCGTTCTTGCTTTCGAAATTCCCCACTTTCGAAAGTCTCCGTTCTCGAAGTTACCCGATTTCGAAGTTTCCCGTTTTTGTTTTATGGAATCCTCGGTTTCGAAGTTCCCCGCTTTCGAAGTTCCCTGTTTTTGTTTTTTAGAATCCTCGGTTTCGAAGTTCCCCGATCTTGAAGTTCCCCGTTCTCGAAGTTCCTCGTTTTCTTTTCCGAAATACCCTGATTTCGAAGTTCCTCGTTCTCGAAGTTTCCCGTTTTCGTTCTTGAAATACCCCGATTTTGAAATTCCCCGTTTTCGTTCTCGAAATAGCCCGATTTCGAACTTCGCCGCTTTCGAATTTCCCCGCTTTCGAACTTCCTCGTTTTTGTTTTTTAGAATCCTCGGTTTCGAAATTCCCCGATTTCGATGTTCCCCGATTTCGAAGTTCCCCTTTTTCGAAGTTCCCCGTTTTCGTTCTCGAAATACCCCGATTTCGAAGTTCCCCGTTTTCGTTCTCGAAATACCCCGATTTCGAAGTTTCTCGTTTTCTTTCTTGAAATACCCCGATTTGGAGATTCCCCGTTCTCGAAGTTCCCCGTTTACGTTTTCGAAATACCCCGATTTCGAAGTTCCCCGCTTTCGAACTTCCCTGCTTTTGTTTTTTAGAATCCTCGGTTTCGAATTTCCCTGCTCTCGAAGTTCCTCGTTTCTGCTTTTTAGAATCTTCGGTATTGAAGTTCTCCGCTTTCGAAGTTCCCCGTTTTCGAAGTTCCCCGTTTTCGAAGTTCCCCGTTTTTGTTCTCGAAATACCCCGATTTCGAAGTACCCCGTTGCGAAGAATGGAGACCAGTAATCCCTGCGTACTGTTTCATGATAGGTTCGCGTCTTGTCACCGACCATATTTTTTTTATAACATATGTATTTTTTTTCTCACATTTATTGTTTATTGAGCAGAGTTCATTATTTAAACAGTATTTTTCAATTGTTTAAAAATATTTTAACAATGAGCAGGTAATGTGAGACAACCAAGAGTTTACTTAATATCTTTACAAGTCTATCTACCAC